ATCAGCTGCTCCTCCAGTGATTGGCTGTTGTTTTTTTGTATATTTATTTATGTGTCTATATCTTCCTTGTGAATATAATTTAGTTTTCCATTTTATGTTTTTCTTTTGTGCACATAACATAAAAACAACATAAAAGGAGGAGCTGGGGTGGAGGTGGGTTGCAAAGCGGCTTGTAGAAAAAGCGGCAGGCTAAAGTAGCTTAAATAAGGCGACCTAAATGATATTTGTCAATTGGATTCTTGGAGGGAATCAGCTGAGCCATCAGTTGATGTGTGTTTACGATTAGCTGTGATTAGCTGATATAGCTGGAATTGAGAGCTGACCTTGACTTTGTGGCCTGCCTGAACTAACGCTATGCTTAATATACTTCCAGATAAATAGAGTTTGTAGAAATTTGTAGAAATTAACAGATTTTTGTTGTTTCTAGTGGGGCTGCATATGATGAAAACATCATATTAAGATTATTTTGACAGATATTGCAATATAATTGATTAGTGTGAGAATGATCATTTTTATCACATTCAACTTATTAAAATACTGAGATTTTTTGTACCAAACAAACATGTTTTCTTAAATGTGGAGACTGAGATTTGTAGGCCAGGATATTTCTGCAGAACTACAGTACTTTCTTTGCTACATTAAATTGCTGTTTGTCACATTTTACCTTTATCAAAAAACTGCAGCTTCTATATTGCACTTAGCCATGCTGCCATTTTGATCATATTCTGATTAATTGTGCAGCCCAAGTTTCTAGTGTAATTAAGGAAACGACAGCTTTTCTTAACGATTAAAATATTTCAAATTTGTTCCATTACCTTCAGCTGGAGGTTCAGATCGAGAAAACTGTCTGTTCCACAAGCAGAAGTGAAACTAAACTTTAAACAGTAAACACCCAGAGAGGGGCGAGTGTGTGTGAAAGATTAATTTTATCAGTTAACTGCCAGTGCAAGTGATACAGTGGATGTTTAAAGAGAGCATATAAAGATAAAACACATGCTGACCTGGAATATCTGGAAGTTGATTTCTAGTTAATTTGCTTCTAGAAAGCAGCTTTAGTGCGTTTATAAAACTAACTGAATGTTAGTTACTGTGGTAA